AGCCTCACAGTCTTGCCTCACAAAACCTATTGTCGGTTATTCATGATATGCACTGGTCCTCCTCAAAGGTTCCATCCGTATCAACAATCAACTCGCCCAATTCACCACATGTGTCGAATCTGGAGCATACTTCCAGAGCATAGAGACATGGAACACCGCGTGAAAATTCGATAAATTTGGTGGTAATGCCAACCTGTAAGCCACTGTACCCACCCTCTCAAGTACCTCAAAGGGCCCGATAAACCTCGGCGACAACTTTCTCTACTTTTTGAATCTGACCACTCCCCTCTTAGGCATCACCTTTAAAAAGACATGATCACCAACATCAAACTCTAGAGTCGCTGTCGTCTGTCAGCATAGCTCTTCTGTCTGCTCTGAGCCGTAAGAAGACGTTTTCGTATTAGGTCCACCTTCTCCGAGGTGTCTCTAATCCAATCCGGACCCATAGAGGGTTTCTCTCCCACCTCCGTCCAACATACAGGAGAATGACAAGGCCTCCCATATAGTGCTTCATAAGGTGTCATTTGTATACTCGCCTGATAACTATTGTTGTAGGTGAACTCCACTAAAGGTAAATACTCTTCCCAACTACCCTTGAGATCTAGGACGCATGTCCGTAGCATATCCTCTAAAATCTAGATGGGTCCTCTCCGATTGACCGTCCGTTTGGGGATGAAAAGATGTGCTCATCGTTAACTGTGTCCCCATGGCCCACTGAAAACTCTCTCAAAATTGGGTCGTGAATTTAGGATCCCGATCCGATACTATAGACACTAGCACTCCATGCAACTGGACTATCTATAGTATATATAACCTGCAGAACTCCTCCAGTCTGAAGGTCATCCGTACTGCTAAAAAAAGTGCCGACTTGGTAAGTCAATCCACTATCACCCACACTACGTCATGTCCCTGTGATGTCCGTGGCAAGTGAGTCACAAAATCTATCGTAACGTGCTCCCACTTCCACTCGATCACCTGCAAAGATTAGAGCAATCTTGTTGGTCTCTGGTGCTCAGCTTTGATCTGCTGACATGTGAGACATTGATTAACGAAATCTCTGATGTGCCTCTTCATCCTACACCAATAGTATTGGTGACGAAGATCATGTTACATCATCGTGCTACCTAGATGCACAACAAAACGGGAGCAATGGAACTCCTTAAGGATCTCCTCTCTTAGATCCGCCGACTGAAAAACCACAACCCCTCCCCTATATCGAAGACTACCATCCGCGTGAATGGTTCAGCCCTCGTCACTTGTACCCAACTGTACTTAGTCCCTAATGGACAATATCTCCGTGTCCTGCCCCTAGGACTCCATCACCCTGCTTAGTAGGGAAGACATAGCCACTAACCTCCCTAAGTGCCCTTGTTCAACAATTCTTGTAATTGGACCTAGAGTTCTCGCAACTCTACCGATGTCATTCTATGTAGAGTCATAGAAATATGTGATGTACCGGAGTGCAACTCAACAGTGAAGTTTACATCTCGATGTAGAGGTAATCTCGGTAGTTCATCCGGAAAAATATCCTCAAACTCATAAGCCACCCGAAGTAGACCCAACTCTTGTCTCGCCTTGTCCTCCAGGATAAGGCTTGCTAACCAACCCATCAACTGTCCGTGTCATCGAGAGTCATACACAGCTTGGGGTGAAGCATCATGCTTTTTTTCCCTCGAAACTCAAAACAAACACGGTCCGGTGTGTAGGCCATGACCTTAGGTCCATGATGAGTAGAATTTTTTGAGATCTCTAATTCACAACCCGACATATCTGATCAATACATAGCCTAGTTCCTAGGGTTGAATTTATCTATAAGGACTCCTCTAGGTTTGTGATTCCTAAATCTATATCATGCACGCAGACGTGAAATGACGGTATGTGACATCCTTGAATCAAATAACACATGTGCTCATAAACAAGGAAATAAGAAATGTACCGATGGTTGTCGATTGATCCGTCCCTATAAAAGGGTAAGTCACACTCAATAAGACATCTCCTAAAGAGGCTACTCCCCAACCTAGATGCATATGAAATGTTCACATACAATTCATAAACAACAATCACTTCATTCAAGAATATGCAATTCAAAATAGAATCCTCAATGACATGCCATGATATGAGATGAGACTCACACATGCAACTTAATCCGAGCCTTTACCGGCTCCCTCAACACATGCAATGTCATGCGTATTAATCTAGGCATTCCAAGCTTAGCCATTGATGTTACATATCCAATGACCTTTTTTTGTTTATTTTTAAAAATAAACCACGTGTCTTTGTTGCGTATTCAGATTTTTAAATCTCACCACCAGTTCTATACACTGTTACACTTTTTTGGACTTGCACCTTCCAAAGTGTATAAACCAGTAATTGGGTCTTGCACCCGAGCGAGTATCTAGTCCTTCTTGTTATACCCGATACAAGTTTTTCATGCAACTGTGCAACTAAGCCGGACCTAGGTCTAACCTTCCCGAGTCCACGCCTCAAACACCAAGAATGATGTTTGATTTAAAAACATGCACACACCCCCACACTCATGTCAAATGCCCACAAATGTGATGTTACCCATACATATGCAATGTAAATGTACAATTGCAATTCTCAACTATATTCAATATATCATGTGCACATTATGAACAATTCAATATCCGACAACATTTCTTTCCATGGTAAATTACATCACAGACATATAACCACCATCATTAACCTCAATATCAATATATCTCATGCATATACCAACATCAACTCTTAAACATGCTATAACATAATCAATGCTAAATAACACATTCAATCCATATAGGCACTTAACCAAACACTTTAAAGACAATAAAATCATGTAACTCATAATATGCCTAATTTTATCATATATATCAAGAAATCACAAACAAGTAATTTCTACAAATCCAATTCATACTAGAATTGATTTTAACTATTCTCAATACCCAAGCATATTATAACATTTTCAATGAAACCAACATGTTACATCAACATAAGCATTTTATCAAACACATTCAAGGCACCAAATCATATAACACACAATCATGTCCAATTATCATATTTTTCATGAATTTACCAAAATAAGTAAATTCTACAAACCTAATTCATGCAAAATTGATTTAACATATTTCTATACCTATTTCTCAGAATCTAGTTACACTAGGAGTATTCTACAAGCCCAATTTTCATGCAAGATTGATTTAGCATATTTCTATACCCATTCCTCATAATCTAGTTATACTAGGAGTACATCAAACAAGAGAATTCATCTCAAGTCATATTACCCATATCATATGGAACTATAAATTGAAAATATACCTAATTAAAAAAAGAACCCTACCTCTTGAAGCGTAAAACAACGGTAGAAAATTTTCAACACCCGAAACAAGTTCTAATCCTTGTTTTCTCCAAAATTTCCTTTTTTGTTCTTCGACAAAACCTTCAATATTTGGTACGTAGGTGTAGCCCTCGTTGTGTAGATGAACTTTGATTTTTGGCCCGAATAATTACAACCAACGTAGAGTCGTAAATCGTAAAGAGAAGTTGGAGAATCCTTTCTTTTCCCTTTCTTTCTCTCTAATTTCAAAAATCTGATGGGTATGAGGAGAAAATATGATTTTCTCCCCTATTAATACCCCCTTAAATGCTTGGCCCTCGTTGTGTCACACGTCTTCCATTCCCAAGTTTAATTTTGTCCTAAAATAATTAAATTTTGTCCCGGTCCAAGTTCAAAATATTTTTATTTGAACTAGCTTTAAATTATTTTTTAATTTTTAAAATTTAATTCCACGTCTCGTTTTTAGGTCACACGACACCCGATCGCTTCGTAAAACGTGAAAAATCCGACTATCTTAGAATTTAATGAAAATTGACTGGGTAACTAGATTTCGCAAGACGAATCCAACGGTGAGGTCCGTTTCGTTATTTGAGTTGTAAAAAAATTTGTAACTAATTACCATTTTACTATTTTCATAAAAATTCAAATTTACCCGGCTTTTACATATTCTATTTTATTATATATATGTTGTTTGGCAATCGAATTTTACTATCATATTTAATTTTTTTCTGTATGTAACAAGATCATAATATTATATTACAAACAATAGTTTACGATTTAATCAATCTCTTTAACATAAATAGAATAAAATATGTGGATGTACAAATACTCAAGAATAACAATCTTACGATGACTATTTTATTGGTATCATTTGACTTCTAAATACTTATAAACTCATATCTACATCTATTTTATATAAAAAAGGCTTGTGTCAGTAACTCTGCCAAGGCACAAATTACACTTTATTTAGTAGGGTTTAGGAACAATGTTGGCAAATAATTTTTTGAATAGAGTGACTCACCTTGCAATCCAATTTCTTCTGTGAAGTGTATACCGGCTAGGTTGCTGTCCAGAGGACCAAACCTGACTATTGAACAGGACAGCCCAATCTATATTCTATTATAATATACATGTTAGCAGATTAAATTTTACTCTCACATATATGTCACATTTGATTTTTTTTTTGTATGCAACAATATTATAATACAAACAATAGTGTACGAATATTCAAGAATAACAATTTTATAATGAAACTCCACAATAAACAAAAAAAGAAAATGGTTATAGAAGTCAAAAAAATACATAAAAAATAACAAATTAAGTACTCAAAGAAAAATAAAATAGATCAATAATTAGATTTAATAATAATTAATATAGCATTAATTAAATAAATAAAAATTATAAAATAAATTTTTTATATAAAATATTATTTAAATATATCCACGTGCAATAGAACGTATTTACAAAAGTATGATTTAGAGTAATTGGAAAAAAAATCTATAAACATGCCCACAATGGTGAAATGGAAAACTGAAATAATTAGAGAGAGAGAGAGAGAGAGAGAGAGAGCGCAGAGCAAATTTCGTCGGTTTTATTTCTCAATCAGGCTTCTCCTACAAATACTCCCAACTTTATCTTTTCGGTGCTTCTCTCTCTCCTCTGTGCTATCTTTGCTGACTTTCTTTCCCGCATTTGTAGTACACACGTAGAAAGCAAACGTAACTATATTTATAAGACGAACGTCAGATCCCAATCTCCCCTCCCCTCTTTACCTCGTCTGAAACTGTATTTTATGCATTGGGCGTCTCGCGTTATAGATAGAGTATGTCTGGAATATGGAGATGGAAGAAAGTGAGAGAAATGGCTGTAACGGCATCGTCAGCAAGGACCACATGGCTCGGCCGTTCGTCGAGGAATAAGAAATCGCCGGAGGTATCGAATCCGCATCAACACTGCCGAGGGTTTGTGAATTGCCTTCACGCAGGGTCGTATATCAAGCGGAGGGAGTCGCTGATAGGGGTTCAGGCCAGGCACAAATGGGACCATGGAGGTTCTCATGATGATTTCCAGACCCGTAGGATCAGGGCTGAGGCCAATTGCCCTCGCTGCTCCAAGCACATGGATCTCCTATTTTCGAATAATAGCCACCAGCTTCTTCCACCCTCTTCCTCCTCCGCCGATGATATTGATACCAAAATTAATGCCAATGATAATAATAATAATAATAACCATGACTCCAAAGGAAGTAGTGGTCCTTACCAGGCAGTCAATTTGTGTCCCAATTGTAAGACAGCATACTATTTTCGGCCTTACAAAATGGCCCCTCTTCAGGGAAGCTTTGTTGAAATTGGGAGAGTTAAAGCCAACGGCGGCGGTGGCAAGGGCTCTAGCAGGAGACCCAGTGAAGAAGAAGATTATGGAAACATACTCAGGGCATCCTTCTTGGGGACTCCGAAATCTTTCAGTTTTGAGCCACCGGAGAATTGGCCTCCTCCGTCACCTCCGTTAGGTAATGGTCTGGCCGTGCATACGCCTCCTGGACCGCCCTTTGCACCTGGGGTTAATGTCATTCGAGCTGCAGGTCCTGGTGGCCCAGGTGGAGGTGGAGGCGGCGGCGGCGGCGGAAATGGAGGCAGCAATGGAGAGAAAAATGGGTGGGGTGGGTCTAATTTGGGGAAGCATTTTCCAACTCCAAAGGAGATATGCAAGGGGCTTGATAAGTTCGTCATTGGCCAAGAACGTGCCAAAAAGGTCCTAACTTTATCCCATTAAGGCAGTTGATATCTCTCTTGTTCAACTTGCAATGCAATTGCCTACTTATTTTTCTCCAGCTATACAAAATCAATCCTACCATCATTTATTGCATACAAAAGTTTTACAATGGATGTGCATTAATCTTCGAACTGTTGGGAAGTTATTACTTTCTAACAATTATTTGGACCTAATCTTTGAGGATGCACAATTGCACATATTTCAAATTTCCATCTCCTGCGGGATTTGCTGATGCATTTCTTCTGCCGGTGAATGTGACACTGAGTGGAGTGTAACACTGAATTTTTCCTCTTCATGACACATAATTAGGAAAACAAGATGATGGTGTTATTGCATATTTTGTGCATTTTTATTCCATTTTCGTTGCTCTTTTTAAGATCCTAGAGGACACAACTGTTAGAGAAAGTATTTTTTTTTTGTTTCAAATTATATCCTCCCTTTAATTTTTATCTAAAATTACATAATGTTCTGCAACTAGTTCCCATCTGGTTTGTAGTTATGCTGCAGGTGCTTTCAGTGGCTGTTTATAACCACTACAAAAGGATATATCATGCTTCCTTGCAGAAAGGGTTAGTTATTAAATGTCTCAGACATCTATTAATCCGTGGCCCACCAGTGGCTTTCATGCTGATATTGCTCCATTTGTTCCTCGAATTGCACTGTCTCTTTGATATGTATTATCAGCCTTTGAAATATTGTCCGATAAAATTGAACTTGGATTTGGATTCTAGGTCAGGAGTGGAATCAGGGTCTGAAGATAATGATGATAACGTAGAATTGGAGAAGAGCAATGTACTTTTAATGGGCCCAACTGGCTCAGGTATGATAGCTTTTTTTCATTCTTGTATTGTTTTCTTCTGGTATTGCATTCGAAAAATTGTGGCATTAGCTTATCTGATGGTAATTTCAGCACTGTACAGGAGTTATTAGCATGATAGAAGCTGTAGTTAAGCTGTCCTTCTGGCTTAATTTTGCATAACAGGGAAAACATTACTTGCAAAAACACTTGCTCGTTTTGTGAATGTGCCTTTTGTCATTGCTGATGCAACAACTTTAACACAGGCAAGTCAAAAGCTGTTCTCTTTTCCACATTTTTATATTAATAAGTTGTGTTAATATGAATACGAAAGTATAAACCTATGTCAACTTCAAATCTGCGAAAAGTTAAATTCCATCTATCATGTAGCATGGCAAAATCTTGTATTAACCTGCCGTAATTATTTCTTGTTGGCACTGCCACGCTGGTTATTTAGTACAAGAACCTATTTCGTAAGTTGATTTATGATATTCTAATTTTTTTTATATACAGCTTAGTTAAGTTCTAATATAGTGTATAATTTCGGCATACTATTTATCTTGCAATAAATCATGCAATTGCATTTAGAACAAAACAGACATATTGAATTACAATAAACAGTTTGTTTTTCTATGACCTGTCATAGCCACGACTTGGTTTTAAATTTTTAATCATATGCCACTGTTGATATTTTCTACTCTCTCTCTCTCTCCTGATTTTTTACTGTCCAACTGAAAGAGGCAAATTCTGTGATTGTGCAGGCTGGTTATGTTGGAGAAGATGTTGAGTCAATTTTGTACAAACTGCTTATGGTATAGCTCATGCACTACATGTGTAGTCTCATACACAATTCAAGTTATTCTCTCTTATTTCTTGAATCAATGGTATGATGTTTCAAGTTCTTATTCTAGGCATTCTGCTAGTATGTTTTGTTGACTTCTTTTACTATTTAAGCTCTTCTGTTTGCCAGAAGAGTTCGTGCGCAATTGGTGGTTTTTTCCCGATCTTGGTATAATTTGGGTTTGCCTTTTGTTTTTGGGGATGTCTTTTTTGGAGGGAGGTGCAATTTTCTAGGTTTATAGTCATTGTGTGACCTCAAACAATATTCTTATTATCAAAGTTGCTGTTGCCTATTCTATTAGGTGAATGGAAGAAAGTTCACCTAATGTGTTGACTGGTATTCAGTGCCTGGTCGTTACCAATTTTTTGATATTTTCCTGAATTCTAAATGGAAAATAAAGAGAAGATGTGTAACTATTGCTTGAATTGTTTGAAAACTGAAGGCCAATTTGCCTTGTTTCCTTGAGTTGTTCTTTCTATTGTCTTCCTTCCACTAGTAAAGTTTCTTAGGACTTGCTTGTTATCATGCCTCCTGAGAAAATTTGTGTTATTAGGCTGTGAAGATGTTACTCATTCTTTATTGTTGTTAAAAGATAGCACTGAAAACTCCATGAAGTTTTAATTGAGGGCAATAAATTTGATAAGTATTGTCTGTAATTGTCATGAGTGTTTCTCTAGACCTCTTCTTTCCATTATAAAGATTCTAGGCTCAATGTATAGAAAAGGGGAAGAAGAACCCACCTCGATGCAACCAAGATTGATCCCTGAAGCTTTTTCTGATGTGTTAAACTTTAGAATCCGCAACACCAATCTTTCTTTTCTTCTTGCTTTTTCTTCCCTTCGTGCTTTTCTAACTTTCTAGTGTTCGTATTTGTGAGAATATGCAAAACTGTTCCTAGGCATTGATCAAAATATTGTTTTGGCACATTGTTTCTGTTACCTAAGAAACAAAAACGTTTCAAAAATATAATGGAATCGGATAAAAAATTTGGGTGTTTTATTTTCAAAACATTTCAAAGTATTGGTCTAAATATATCAAAACATCTCAAATATCTTGAAATATTTTGAAACATTGGTGGAAATATCTTAAAACACATTGAAATATTTCAGAATATTAGTGGAAACATGCTGAAATATTTTGAAATAACTCAAAACATTCTAAAATACCTTGAAAAACCTCAAAGCAGTGGAATTTTGATTCAATTAATGATTTGTTTTGGTCTCCTTGGTTTGGTCATTTCAAAACGATATTTGGATCCTTATTCCTAGGGTATTTATGCGTCAAAAAACAGATGAAATGACTCATAAACAATACAGTTCGGCTTTTCTGCATACGTCTAGATAGTGGTGAGTTTCTGTCAAAATGTATACTGCGTTCGGACATAAGTACATCTCTGCCCAACATGTGAGACAAGCCTCTGGACATGCATAAGTTTCTGTTTATGTCACCTTTTTGTGCAAACTAGCCCTGATATCTAGGGTTGTCAAAATCCGACACGACATGATTAATTGACACGAATTATGCGGGTTTGGTGAGATCTTAACGGGTTGACACGCCAAACACATTTAATAAATGGGTTGTGTTTGGGTGAGACTTGTCAAATCGTTTATTACACGTTTACCTGTTTAAATAAAATTAATATAATAATAAATTAATAATTATTTAAAAAAATTAGCAAAAAAATGTAATGAAATCAATAAAAAAAAAGTAAAATAATAGTTCAAAGACAAATGAGAAGAGATGGAGAGCACTTCAAAGGCAAAGGCAAACCAATGCCTTATGTTTTTGTCCCACATTGAAAAATGAGGGGAGATGGAGAGAGCTGAGTTATAAAAGGCAATGGCCTCTTGTTTTTTTTTTTAAGCCTTCAAGTCTTATTTTTATGAGATCTGGCTAAAAATTCCAATTTTTTGAAATAAGTGCAATTGACAATAAAAAAAGTGAAGTATTAAAATTTGTTGATATAATTTTTTTAAAATTAAATGGGTTAAACGAGTTGTGTCGTGTTACCTGTTTATTAAACGGGTGATATAGATCGTATTAGGAAGAATTAGGGATGAGAAGGGAAGAAGAAAAAGATGAGAAAAGAAGAAAAAGGAGATGAAAATAGAGAGAATTTTAGAAAGAAGATTCAATATCAATAATCAATAATCAATAGTCTACCAAAACAAATACCATATTCCCTATATATATAGGGAGAGCACAAATCCTAAAAGAACTCTAAAAGAAATAAATAGTCATAATGACAACTAAACCCTTAAAAGTTAAAAAAAATTACTTAAACGATAAATATTAAAAGTATCTAAATAACTATCATAATTAATCTATTCAATTCCTACACGATCTTCATCATTCTGCTTTGGTTGAAAAAAACTCTCTTCCGGAGAGTCTTCAAAGTAGAAGTACTCTAAGAGAGGAGGATGAAGATGACATAATGTCTCATCTAGAATGAAAGAACCATTAATATCTTTCCATCGATCAGAATAAATGCAAGAATTTCCATTTGTAGCAATGTAATTCTGATCACGTAACATATCATCTATTTGCTCTGAAATACACGATGGAAGTAGAAAGATAAGAGCCGGAGCTAATGCTGAGGAAGAAGCAATTCCACTTGTAGAAACACCTGATAACAAAATAGGAAGCTCTGGAGTACCTCGATTAAGTAGCATGTCCTCTAAATAAAAATCTGGACTAATACTAACATTCAATAAAAAATTAAGCAAATAAGTATTAGATCCAAACTCAAGAATAACAAAACAATTCCCATTAGATTTGAACAACTGACATTCAACGGGACAAGATATCAATGACAAAGGAGTGATTATAGCACCTTGGTGCTGAAAATAAGAAAGTACAGACTCAATTGAACACTTGACAGTAGGCAAAGAATCAAAGTTAACAATTTCAAGTAGGGCAGAATCTAGAACAATGTCAACAATCTCAGGTGGAGAAGAATTCGAAACAAAATCAATAATCTCAAATGAAGAAGAATCCACAACAATGCCATCATGATTCGGAATAGTACAGATATAATAATTGCCAACAGATTGTAAAATAGATAGCTCAATATGCTCAACATCTTGCATGGGAACTAACTGAATGAATTTTTCCTCAAGTTCAATGCTTAGTGGTGATTCAACTTTTGGCACCGATGAGGTAGGAAACATGATAGGATAAAAAATAATCTTATCACTAGTATCAATGCTTAAACGATTGAAAGTATTTTTTGAAGGATGTAAAGCATGAGGGTCCAATGGAATAGAAATATGGCTATCATTATGCGGGTGTCCGACATTTGGTGAAACTGAAGACTTGTCCTTATTTTCTTCTATTTGCTGACTTGCAAGAATTTTATTCAAGTGGGAAAGTTGACTTGTTAATTCAAATAATTGGTTTTTCACCCCTCTACATTCTTCACATAATTGGCCGAGTGAATATTTAGTGTTGACAACTTCAATTTCAAAGATCTCAACCTTTTTTTCTAGGACAATTTGGGCTTTTGAATGGTTACTAATAACATTGAAAATTGATTCAGATTGACCTTGATGACGACTTTGGAAAGCATGATGTTGGTAACTGTTATGTGGCCAAAGTGTCCCAGATTAGTATTCTAGATAATATTCATAATAAAACTCAAACTTATTATGGACTTTATGATGACTCCAAGAAGCTCTAAGAGTGGAATAGGTATAGTGATGACGTTGTGGAGAACTATGAACTTGAGACATTCTTGATGTTGGATAAGTATATGAATAGACATCATAATAATTATATGAACTCATGATTGACTTTAAAAGATGAGAATAACATAAGAATGAGTTCAAGAATGTAATTAATAATTATGAGAAGTGAGAAAACTTAAATAGAAGAAAATATGTTTTGGATTTTTTGCAAATTCTCTAATTTTTCAATGAATAAAAATATTAGTCTCAAATTTTATGGGAGTATGCATACCATAATCAAGAAAAAATTTTGAAATTTTTGAGGATGATTCTGTAATTTCTAAAATTTTTGGGGGTAGTTCTGTAATTTTTTGGGGTGTTTCTATAATTTCTGGAACAACTAGGATTTTTCTGTAATTTTCTAAATCTGCTGAGACAGTTTTTTTTCACCGATGAACAGTTTTTTTTGGGTGAACAGTGCATGCGTGAACAGTGCAGTGAACAGTAACTTCGTTTTTTTTTTCTTTTTCTAAATCAAAGTTAGGCTCTGATACCAAATTGATGTAGATCGTATTAGGGAAGAATTAGGGATGAGAAGGGAATAAGAAAGGGATGAGAAAAGAAGAAGAAGGAGATGAGAATAGAGAGAATTTTAGAAAGAAGATTTAATATCAATA